AACTCCTATCTCGCAATGTGTACAGAGCATGGTTCACAGGCCCTTTACAAAATGAGTGGCACATATTAAAAAAGGGGCTGAAATTAAAAAGACGGACGTTCTCTCTCTTTTTCATTCCTCCAATGATTATTCCCAAAGATTGAAACCCTCACTTCTAGCATGTTTCACTGCCAACTAGGGATGTCAAAAGGGTCGAGGCGACTCGTCGAACTAGGGCTCGTGGGGGGCTCAGGCTCGTAAAATCACAAGCCCGAGCGCGAGCCGAGCGGGTCTCATCGGGAGGCGAGCAGAGCGGGCCGCTCGACTCGTGGCTCATTATAATTAAGTGACCAAAACAGTCACTTTTTAAAAAAAGTGACTGTTTGGTCACTGAAACTTTTCAGTGATCGTTCCGGTTACGGAAATTTATTTTTTTTCCCTTCTACTATAAATACCCCTTAACTCCCCCTTTTTTCACATCAATTACTCAATCACTACTTCAACTCTCTCAAGTCTCAACTCTCTTATCGAGTTTTTACTTTCTTTTGCTGCAAAATATATAATATCGATTCAATTTTTACAGTTTATTAGTTACAATTTCAATTCATCTAGTTCTCAATTCTCACAAGCTCACTACATTTATATTTTTCTAGTCATTATATTTGGATTTCATCATAAACAATCAAACAAATGGACCAACGCTTATTTGTTGAGAGCTTATTCGATATGGGATATGGGCCACATCATGATGAATCGCCTAGGACGCCGCAAAGTCAATTTTCAAATAAATTTGCCGATCTAAATGACATACTCATACTTGAAGATGTTCACATTCATGGTTAGAGAAATCAAAATCCAATTGATTTGGATGATATTAACGTTCTTGAAGCGGAACATGAGGACGAAGATGCCAAATTAAACATCCCAAATGCAAGAGGAAAGCGAAAGGGCAAAAAAAAGCAAAATGTTGGGATCACTTTAAGTTGATTTCAACGGAAAAAGTTGTCGATGGCCTTGCAGAATCTAAAGCAGTATGTAAATACTGCAAACAAAGATTGACATGGTAAAAAGGAATTGGTACCATCCATCTCAACCACCATTGCAAAGTACGTGCGGCCAGACATGGACTTCTTCTAGCTGGTTAAACATAATTGCAATTCGGCAGTCTAAACGTCAGTTATACGACTTCACCCCTATCTACGTAGATGTATTCGGAGGACAATACTCGAACCAGAATGGTGAAATTTGTTGCTGCCATTGAATTGCCTCTGGCTATTGCAGACAACCAACACTTCGTCTCGTTCGTGAAAGAATATCTGCAACTAAGGTACGTTGGGGTAAGTCAAAACACTCTTCGTGCCAATACAATACAATATTTCAATAATTCAAAACAACAATTAATTATGAATTTGCAACAATACGGGGGTGTTATATCTCTAACTTCTTATATATGGGAAGTGGTTAATAAAAGAGCATATACAGCTGCAATCGCACACTATATAGATCCATTTTGATGCATGCATAAAAAAATTATTACTTTTAGAATTATTGAGTTTCCTCACAATGCTAATAATATATATAATGCTATTATCAGTATTGTTAGGGAATATAATTGTGAGACTAAAATTCAGTCTTTTACTTTTGATAATACTAGTATTAATAAGGTAATCGTCGATAAATTGTGGAGGACACTTCAACTTGATTTTAGTGGGTATTTGTTTCATATTCATTGTGTGTGTCATATCTTGAATTTAATTGTGCAAGATGGCTTAAAACATATAAAGGATTAAGAATGCAATAATATATATTACGATTTCTCCTAGTAGAAAACAAACATTTGAAGATTTTTGTGTCGAACTAGGGGTGACGACTGTTAAAACATTTGTTAGCGACGTAGGCCATAGATAGAACTCTACTTACTTTCTATTAAAGTCATGTGAATATTTCGAAAATTTAAGAACTGACTTTTATAACAATAGACACATTAGAAGTGATGACGATGGCATGTTAAATGAATCCGATTAGATTTTAGTTTTGAAAGTTAAACGATTTTTGAAATCATTTTATGAGACCAAAAAGATTTTATCCAGCATTTATTATTTCACAAGTTGTATGGTGCTTGAACGCCTTAATATAATTGCAAGAACATTCCATATATATAAAAATGATCATGCTTTTAGTGAAATTATGATTGCTATGGAATTAAAGTTTAGAAAATATTGGGAAAAAATGTCTATGTTATTTCCTTTAGCATGCGCAATAGACCCCCGATATAATATTTCGGGAACTAAATACGTAATTAATCAAATCAATAAAGCTTTAATACTTGATACACCTATCACCTATAAGAATTCAGAGCAAACATTATGTGGAATGTATGATTTATATGCGAAAAGAATGGGTGCGAATATTAGTCGGGTACTCTCTGTACCTACTCCTTCGACTGAAATTGAAGAAAATGATGCCGAAATAATGAATTTATTTCAAGGAATTAATACATTTAGATATAATGCAACTGCAATGTGTTCATCTAGTACCATGTCGTCTACATTTGCATCTCATCAAACATCGATTGAAACTCAAAATGCGATGTCTGCTTAATTAATTGATTATTTCAATCATAATATGTCAAAAGACAGAACAATTAAAAAAAAGCTCAGAAGAAGTAATTGAATTCCGGCTAAAGTATGAAAGACGTTGGCCAATTGTTTCTGTAATTGCGAAAGATCTGCTGACACCTCCGGTTAGCACTGTTATTTCGGAGTCTGCTTTTAGTGCAGGTAAAAGGGTTTTCACTGATATCAGGAGCCGATCGAAAGAAAATGTTTTGGAAGCATTAATGTGCGTGAATGATTGACAGGACGCTCATTTTCGACTACAAGATAAATACGCTGAAATTGCATGTCGTCAGGTAAGTGATATTTGATTTAATTATATTAATCAAAATTTCTTTATTTTTTAATCGTTAAATTTAATTTTTTTAAAAAAATTGTACACGTTACAACAAATTGTTTGTATATAATTTTTAACTCCACCTACTTAAAATTGATATAGCCAGTCCCAAGCCCGAATAAAGGATGAGGGTTTACATTTTATCTACTTTAAAAAGAAATAAAAAAAATATTTTTTGTAAATGTATTTCCCTATCAACAACTCTCAAGTGAGAAATGTCGATTACAGTCTTCTTGTGATGACACCTCATTACACTCTCGATGATGTTGACCGACCCAAGCTTCAATCTATCTAGCATCTGGTCGCACCCTCTGATCGCGACCATCAACTCGAGTAGAAGCACCGAGCCATGTCCCTGGAAGTACATCTCGTACAGCCTATTGCTTCTCTTAATGGCTGCTCGTCGTCCGTAATCCTCAGTCCACTGATCAAGGTAAACTCAAACATTGAGAAACTGACTACCTTGCCCCCGAGGTCGAAGTGGAGGGAATCGCCGTCGACCGGCTTCAGAAATCGATATAGAAGTGCATCGATGATCTATCCTGAGTACTGCACTTTTCACAACTGGTAAAGTGGCCATAAGAAGGATTGTCGTAGCATATCTCCGTGCTGATTATCGAACAGCTCCAACACAGCAGTAAAACTCTCAAAACTACTGTTCCAAGTAGCTTTCCCCGCCATCCGTCTCAACTCCCCATCTAAATGATACTTCATCCTGCAAAAATTCAAATGTTAGAATATTGAACAAGAGATAAAAAAATAGCGCATAATCTAAAAAAATCAAGGGAACCGAATTCTAATTACCATATAATACCCAAGACATTGACGCTAATAACAAAATAAATTCAATACAAATGTAAAAAATAATTAATTAAATTAAAATACAAATTAATGAAATTTTCAACAAAAGGAAATTATTAATATTTAAAGAATACAAAAAAATTAAAAGTTAAAGATTAAATATATTTTCAAAAAAATTTAAAGAATATAAATATTATTTAAATAAATTTTAAAAAAATTAAAGAATATAAAAATTAAATAAATAAATAACATAATTATTATTTAATCAAATTAAAATTATAAAGAAAATTAATCTTGTATTAATCATTTGGAAAATATATGTACAAAAAAAAATTTAAAATTAAATACATTTAAAAAAATTAAAGTATATAAATATTAATTAAATAAATTAGGAAACATAATCAAAGATTATTTCTTAGAAAAAAGGAACAAAATAAATTGTTAATTTCAGATAATATTCAATTATTAAATCATATAATTAAAAGACAATTATATAAAAAAATAACATAATTATTATTTAATCAAATAAAAAAATGAATTAATTACAAAGAAAAATAATCTTCTATATATTTGGACAATATATTTAAAAAAATTAAAAAATTAAAAATATATATTTAAAAAAAATTAAATGTCAACAGTTGAGTCAAACTATTAACAATCGATTTGACTGTTAACAGTTATGGGCCGACTGTTAACAGTCAAGACCTAACTATTAACAGTCCGATTGAACCCGACTGTTAACATTCAACGTCTTTCCCCCTTCATCTTTTCGTCGAAAATCGTCATTTTCGAAGATGAGAGGTCCAAAAAATTACAAAAAATTCACATTTTTCACCTAAGGATGACCCACACAATTTAACTACTCATGCATCAAATATAATTAAACCGAATAAATGTAAAAAAAATTCAATTGATTATAAACAACAAAAATTACAAATTTGTGCGAGAAAACTAATCGAAATAGTTTCGCCCGATGATAGATAGGTATTGTCTGGTCGTTGATCGAAATCACTATGGCGTCGGTGATTTTGGCCGGTGGTTGATCGAACTGTTTTTGTGGCAACTGAGGTGTTGATTTTCTTTGGGTCGATTGGTTAGAGGGGCCTTCGAAAACAATTTGTAAATGTTGAAGGGTAAAATCATCCTTTTGTGTGTAAAATTATTTTTTAATTAAATTTTTTAATTAATTTAATGGATCAAATGTCAATATTAAAATTTGTTACAGTGGATAAGTCACTTATGTGTGTTTCCTCCAAATATACCCCCAACGAAACAAAAAAACCGATGTAAAGACCTAGGGTTTTGACGCTGCTCAGTATAAATACTCGCGTTGCACAATTAGAGCCGAAACCTCTACTGTTCGCCGTTGTTGGTCTTTTTCACTTGCAAACCCTAGCAGCCTTTCGTTCGGCAGAAGAGGAAGAATGGGGCACTCCAACATCTGGAATTCTCATCCCAAAACCTACGGCCCTGGCTCCCGCACTTGGTATAACTGTCTCGGTTCATTAATCAATGTTAATTTCTGGATTTTTGTTTGTTATTTCTTTAATTCCTATTTTATATGTGGATTTATGATTTTGTTGATCTTCTTCGCCACCTGGTTATTGATGGAAAGTACCCAATTTCTTTGTTTGAAAGGACTTGAGGAAGTTGTTTAGTAATTCAAGCATTATACTGATGTCCAACACATTTATCTTTTGTTCTAATCAACTTGATCCGCGATGCCTAATCTGAAGTTACAATAATACATAAGAGTTGTTTATTTTAATTCTAAACTCCAAGTCCTGGTTACATTTCTTGGCAATTCATGAATGTGAATGTGATGGCTTTAAACGAAGAATATATGTAAGTTTTTTGAGTCTAATATTCGTTATTTGAATTCCTATCTCATTTATTCTTTGTATACCCTCTTGTCAATTTTATATGGTTTTCTGCTTTGTTCTATCAGTTTTCACTCTGAAAGTGTGGATATATTTAGGTTTATTTTGTTCCTTTTTGGGCCTTTAGTTTGTTAGGAGTTTGTCTCATACAGTCATATTTGGGTGTGGAAGCTTTAATTTCTCAACTGATTCATCATGCTTCATGAGGTGCTGGATGCGTCTTGGACCCATGAATTCAGATGAGGGCAGTGTTAACTATTGTGTTTTCATACTTGCAATAAGTTAAAATTGTATATGATAGATGTTGTAATTAAGAGTTTTCAAGTTCTCTTGTTCACTTTTTACATTTTTCAACTTTCTTTTGGAGAAAGAAGATTATTTCTACCTTCTCTTCTAGTACATGCTGTCCCTACACTAAAGCATACATAACTGTAATTTTTGACCAAGTTTTTTTAAACTCGCCATCTTAGGTTACTTTAATGTGTATTGATTTAATCACGGAAGAGATATAATGGGAAGTCCTTCTAAATTTTGTACCAATATTGCTATTTTAACTAATGGTAATTTGTATTTAGTTTGAAGAGACATTGGCATAATTGGAAATGAACTTCAAAATTTTCTTGCCATCTTGTGTAACAACCAATAAGAATTTTTTATTTTTCCCTCACGTTTTCTCATGGGAGTTAAGCATAACTGTTGACATTTTAAATACTTTAATTTGGCAGCCGTGTTTGTGGGAACCCCCATGGTATAATTCGAAAGTATGGGCTCATGTGTTGCAGACAATGCTTTCGCAGCAATGCTAAGGAAATAGGCTTCATCAAGGTAATCAGCTGAATTTTTTAGAAATATTTTGATGACATGGGTTTCTGTACAACGCTTTTTATATGCAATTGTATCTATATACTTAGAGATAAGTTTTCGATGGATTTTGTCATTAGCTGTGTACATCTATAGAGATGGATTCTAGTGCAACATTGTAAAAATTTTGCTAGCACGATTAGAGCATCTACTGGTTCGTTGCCTATATGGTTCACATTTTATATTTTTTATAGGATGACTAATTATCGTGAATTTTTTATTTTTTTTGCAGTATCGCTAAGCAGTCAAGCCAAGTTTTGTACTAGAGGAAGATTTCTCTTAATGGGATGCATTTAGTTATTTCAGATTTACCTTTTTAAATCATCTCCTGCCTTTGTTCTGAAAATGGATGTATTGAGGATGATTATTCCAAGTTTATAATTGAACTTGAAGTGATGTTTGAACAGACAAATTAATATTTGCTTATTTCATAGTTTTGACCATTGCTTCTTTGCATCCATTATAGTCAATGAACATGCTCAGCACAACTTGAATTAGTATTCCCATAGAATACTGTGGAAGGCAAATCCTTCTCTAAGATTTCTTCAAAGTGGTATTCTACTTTGAATTGTAGAATCATGAAAGCTTAAGACAATTTATATATGCTTGATGATGGATTGGGTGATGGGCAACATCAAACTTGGCCTTGTTACCGATGAGAATTTGGAGTAGATACATGATTTCTCTTTTGCTGCGCTTATGCAAGAGACCATGTTCCTTTAGTTCTGGTTTGTGTTTCTCTTTTAATGCTTTTTCACCTTTTAAATCTCGTTCTATCATCTATGGGACACACTGATTATAATGCTAAAAAATAAAAGAAAACATCTCCACCAAACAAGCTTGAACGAGAATATTGAAAAAGGTATATGACGACATTTGTTAACTGTCCATTTCATTTAAACCCTGTTTGGTATTAATCTTTCGTTCAAAAAAATTAATTTTTTAATCGTTATTTTATTATTTAAGATGTCATTTTTGACTTTTTCACTTACAAGTGGAATCCGCTTTTCTATTTAAAAGTCAAAAAATTCAGAGATCTTAACATAACTTCTAGTTTTAAATATTATATTTTATAAATAACAAATTCATTAAAATATTTCAAAAATCAGGTGGTAAATAATTTTATTAAATATTAAAATATAATATAATATACATTAATTATTTCCATCTCTGTCACCTGGCCCATGCCATCCTATCATTCCACTACATCAGGCGATTGCTTCGGCGACCATCACGATGGCTGTTCCGGTGGTCGGTTCGACGCCCCCTTCGATGGTTGTTCAGCGATCCCTCTGACAAATTGTTCTGATGAATAGTCCGACGCTTGTGATCAACGTTGTCTTGGGTGTAATTAACTGTGATCAAATTTGTATTCAGTGTGACTGTCTGTGACCAAGTCAATTTCAAGTCACAACCGATCGTAATCAACACAAAATTGGTCACAAACAATCATAACAAATACATATTTGATCGCGTAGGGTCACTACAAACAAATCTACACAAAATCGCAGACCTGTGATTAATTGTGACCAACTTTGTTTTTGGTGTGACTAACTGTGACAAAATTGCATTCAGTGTGACTATATGTGACTAGGTCAATCTCAAGTCACAATCGTTCACAGAACCATCATAGCCAACCACAGAACAATCACAATCTACACCACCACCACCTTACCACATCACCAACAACAGAATCACCATAAATCAGAAAATCACCGACAATACAAACTACCCACAACCACAACCCCCAACAACATAAAAAATTAAACGACCACCACCTCAACACGACCACATGCACCACCAGTAACAGAACCATCACAGTCTACACCACCCCTAACAACAAAATCACCCCCATAGAATCTAATACCTTTAAAATTCCATTCTTATTCAGTGGCAGATTTTCTAACTTCAAATCACGGTTCTAAACACATATCTGAGGTACTAATGATTGGGAAATTCACGATGCTATAATCAAAACTCAGCAATGTTCAAGTGTGCCTTGCCACCCGAGCTTTCAGCACCTCCAGCTCTGCATTCAGGTTGGCCGAAAAAAGCCCACTCCAAAGTCAACACTCTCTTGACACCGCCACCACTTTCCGTCAACACAAATCATTAGGACCTTATCGCACACTGCGAGTGGTCGGATTCACCGTTAGCGACCTCATAGCGCCGTCGAAGTGACACTGAAATTATCACTGCTGTCACCGATCGGCTTCTGCGTTAGCTCTTAACGCTGTGCAATGGCAACAACACAATGTTTTTGACTAGGGTTGACGGTCTTGGTCGTTGCACGCGGCGATTCTGCGCCTGGAAGGGAAGAGAGAGAGAGAGCAGTGAGAGAAATTTTTTTAGGGATTTCGAAATGAATGGTGCGTGGGTAGTTGTGTGGGGGTGGGGTTTGGGTAAGGTGAATATGTAGATTAGATACAATTAAATTTTTCTTAATTATAATTATCAAAACTTAATTACCACCTCATTTGTGAAATAAAATTTAATCCCCTTGTTTTCTGAAAATTAATCTTTAAAGGTAGATTTCTAGGTAATTTTCTCAAAAATCAATTCTCATAATCAGTCGAGCAGGCCCTTAATGTGCTAGACGTGTTTTAAATCAATGTGTTTTACGTTTTTTACTTTTTACGGCCCCATTGGCGATGGAGAAGCAGAGTTGTTAGACTTAAAAAGGACTTGAGATGACAGGCGCTAATCAAACGTTTTGAGTTTGTGATCACTTAGAGAGTGGGTTACCTAATTGCTTAACAAACATCATCTTCATGGATGTATTACTTTGGAACTAATGAACTATTAGGGTGTACTTAAAGTCACATGCCTTCCAATAATGCAACAACCAAAATATGTTTGTAATTTAAGCCTTGTTTGACGCTTTTTTTTTTTCCTGGAAGAATGAGTTTTTAAATAATAAATTTTTGGAGAATGTATGATTAAAAAGTGTAAAAATTAAAATGTATTCATGTGAAAAATATTTTATTGTGAGAATGTATAATTGAAAATAAGTATGAGAAAAAAATAATTTTCAAAACAACTGTGCTACAAGTACATGAAAATCTCACAGAAAAGTTACGGAAACAACACTTGATTGAAATTCGTTGGAGGAAGGAAAAAGAAAAAAAGGAAAAGCAAGAAAACAGGGCAGCACCTCGGCAACATCCTATATGGAATTTGTTGAAATTTTCCTTTAGGTAGCAGCACCTCGACAGCATCCAATATAGAATCTGTTGAAATTTTTCTGTACCTAAAGCTTAAATCTTTTCAAAAAATGCTTGTCAAACAAGGACTAAATTCTACATGCTTTGCTTGTCAGTATTTATCAATATTTTAAAATTCGGACCGTTTATAGACTAGAAAAATTAAAAAAGGTCGAGGCATACAATGTGCAGTTGAGACTCAATAGGGGGTAAAAAGTTATTAAATAATTACAAATGTAATACTTTTAGTATGTAAAATTCAAAAAATTTACTTGATTTTTAAGGTATATTTAATTCTAAATATTTATGACATAAGTACAAAAATATATTTTTAAAAGTGTATTAAGTTTATTAATAATAAATTAATAAAATACAGTGTGCGGGCTAATATTTCCACCGTGGATTTCATCTCTCCTCATTGGTGTACAGTTTTATATTTGTAAACTAGTTAGTAGTTGGCAATAGCCATTGCACATTTATAATATATTAAATATCATGTCAGGTGAGAATAATTTTTAAATGATTATCACGTTATTATAATTCAATTATTTTAATAATATTTTACTTTTCGTTTTTAATATATAATAAATATTACAAAATTCTTGTCGCGTATGAATTTTGTGTTATTAATTCTCAATTAATTAATATTTATGTTAATTTAAACTTAATGAATCTTTACTTGATGAATTTTGATCTACATGAATCTAAAGTCATTATGGATGAATTTATTTTTATTCTTATAGTTAGGAGTTTTAATAAGTATTTAAATTCATATATTAGTAATTAATTTTTAGGGATAATTGCAGCAGAAGTCCCAAATCTTTCAAACATTAGTAGACTTTTCCCAAACCTTTAATTTGTTGCAACCGTCACCCTAAACCTTTTGAAATGTTGCAGCAGAGGCCCTTTTGGACGGAAAACATCCAATTTACCGTTAGTTAACCAAAAAATTGAGTTTAACCACATTTTTAATATTTTTATAAATAGCAAAATAATAACTTTTTATTTACCAAATTAAATAATTACATTAATTAAATTAAAAAAACCCCCAAAAAAAAAAAAGAAGAAGAAGGGAAAACCTTTATCATCTCCTTCCTCCCATCCCTTCCCCAACCCCACCTAAACCAAAATCGGCGACGGTGAATTACTGGACTGTAGGGGCTCCCTCTGAGAAAAAAACACTGATTTTGGAGTAATAGCTAGGCAGCTGGCGACAAATTGATTAAGAATATTGCTTCTCCGCCACTCCTGCTTTAGGCATTACCACTGGTATTCAAATTAGGCTGCTGATAGTGTTTAGACTAGCCGGTGTTGTCACCAAGGCCTAGTGGAAGTGGAGGACTAGTGCTTGTGCTCGAATATGGGCTTGTTCAGTGTGGTGGCTGGGGATTTGATACCGGTGAGGCTGTTCGTTTTGGTGGTGGTGGAGCATAATTGGATCTTGAAAAGACTGTAAAGAGAGCCTCAGTTCTTGGCTATGACTACTGGTTCTTGATAGCAAATTCGAGGTTGGGACGCTCTAATAATGCATAGCTGAGGAGCTTGCCTCAACTGAACCGCTCATTGGAAAAAACGACATGATAGTGTTTGCAATATCATTGAAGTCGATTGATGGAGGCAAAAAATTAGCCTCGGATCTCAGCTACAAACTCCCTTTTCCCTCTGGCTGGTTTGTAGCTGAGAAAGGGAGGAAAAAGAGAGGAGAGAGAGATCTGATCGTTGCTGTGGCCGGGGATGGTGGCCGGTGGCCTTGGGGAAGATGAAGATGTACAACTTTTTTTTCTTTTTTGCTTTTTCTAATTTAATTTTTAACTCATTTTAATTTAGTAAATAGAAAGTTACTCTTTTGCCTTCTATAAAAAATATTAACAATGTGGTCAAACTCAATTTTTTAGTCAATTAACGATAAATTGGATGTTTTGCGTCTAAAAGGGCCTCCGCTGCAACATTTCAAAAGGTTTGGAGATGACGGTTACAACAAATTAAATGTTTGGAAAAATTCTGCTAATATTTGAAAGATTTGGGGCCTCTACTGCAATTATACATAATTTTTATGTACCAAATCTACTATAAAAAGTTGCTCATTTGTAGTACTCATCATCACAAAAAATTCGAATCATAGAAATTCGATTTTGAGAGTACAATTTTCTTCTTTTAAATTTCTATCCTAAATTTTATTTTCTTTAATTCATTCGAAACTCATCAAATCCTCCTACCAAATTGATATTAATTATTATTTTTAAATCACTTATAAAATATTTCAAAATAACGTATAATATACGTTCAAATCTATCTGGTCCAAATAAATGAATGGATGAGAAAGACGGGAAAGTCTATTAATTGGCTATGTAATTACCGAGTTCTTCAACACCATAACGTTTAACCATTTTAATAAAAAATGTTTTTATAAGAAAACTTAACCCTTTCAGGCCGGTCAAACCGGGGCCGGTTCAATGGGTATTGGGCGGCTAGGTTGCCGATTCTTAATGTCATATTTTTCATGTCTTAATGGGTAGGGTCGGACTAGTTTTTACAACATTGGTACCTTCATAATAAATTATTAAAATGTAATATTTTGCGTCAACAATCTTGAAAATGAAATTTTTTGTTAGAATCTATGAGATAAGGTACTATCAGACTGCTTGATTACTGAAAAATGTAAAGAAATTATTGATTGAAGATACGTCTATACTTAAATCAATTGCGTATGCTATAGGAGGTATACATTTTGGTAGAGTGAACTCAACAATGCTAAGGTGATGGAATTCTATGCTTGAAATAATCGTTTGGACAGCTTCTAGTGATTACTTGATTACCTTAAGATTATTGGATGCTTTTAAATCCTCACACAGAAAGGGAATATGATAACCTTAAAGGAACTTTCAATGGTCTAGCCAAATGCTTTATTCTTTAGATTTTCTCCCTTGTGCTCCTTAGCTGTCTATCTCTTTGGAAAAATGAAAATACAGCTAACCCTGAAACCATATGAAAATGTGCACATAAAGAGCATATCTATAATACTTAATTAGGATTTTACAATTGCACAAGTTTTCTTGAACTTTATTATAGTAGATCTCATCATCGGACTACCGAGCTCAGGTTCAATTGCCTATAAAAAATACAATACCTTAAAGCGATGATCGTCTCATCTCGATGATTAATGGATTCCACTATCGCAAGTATATGATTTCTAATTGTTTTGACCCGATTTTCAAAGTATCAAGATCAATCTTCTAATTAAAATTTTACTCATTTGTAACTCAAGGAACTTGAACTAACAATCAAAGTTACATTACTTGTTCAGCATTTAGTTAACTTGTTTAATAGTCTAGTAGAGTCTCATTCCAAGCGTCATAAATGAGTCATCTACGTGGTTCCGTTCAATGTGCATGAAAAAAACATTAGTGTATTATTCCCAAATCTAGACAAATATTAATAAGAACAATACAATCTTATCAACATAAAGCGTTCAACTTTACGTATTGATTGTGAACAACATATTTTGATCACATTATGAATTGTGTCTCGCTATTCTCGATCTATCGAGTATACAATTTTTGATATCATGTATGATCATAGAACTTTAGATAATCCTTTCAAATTGTAACAAGCTAATAATCGAACATCAATTCGTAATGTCAGTTTAAAAAATAATTACTCGAAAAGGGCATCAAACTAACATGAGCTTAGGAAAAGAATTGCATTTAAACGATATGTTTATTTGATAATGACGGATAACAAATCAATTTTGTAGTTGTGGATGTCGTCCCATTGTGACTCATTGTCACTCATTAAAAGAGATATTTGGTGGGGATTAAAATTAGATTTTTTAGTAGATTGTGATAGAAGTTTTTGAAATGTGTGGTTGAAAAGTTATGGGATCCATAAAATATGTGATTAATATTGATTGTTTAACTTTGATTTAGATTAAAATTTAATTTTAATCATAACTAAACATGGGCTCAAGCACTGTTTCTAAAATCTAAAATTTGGAGCTCTTGTTGAATTCAAATCCAAAGTATCTTATAATCAATTCAATTACTTGTACCTGAGCTCGAGCTTGAACCTGATAGTTATGTAATATTGAATTGTTGTAATGCATTCAAATCCTCGTGTTACAATTGATATTGATGAATGATATATACATTCGTACAATTCAATATATTAATTAAGACACAAACATGGATGTTTTGAATTATGATCCTATTTATGTTCTTATTTGGTCCTCATTATCTAAATTTACTTTTTTTTCAACACTCATTTTTAATTACATATTTTTAAGTTCATAATATTTTATCAACTTTTATCAAAATCTACTACCAAGCCAAACATGGCATATCTATTTGCAATCCGTAGTTGAAAACTAAAAACGTGTATTGCCGTGTCCTACTTGTGTTGTTTTTACAGATAAGAGACAGAGGATTTAGAAATTAGCGGTGTGGACAAAAGTTTGCATGTCTAGTCAAGGATTTAAAACTTATTCACAATGTACAATTATTATTATTATTATTATTATTATTTGGAGTTGGATTATTAGATCTTTAATTCTTCGGTTCATTGTTAAATTTATTATTAGATCTTTGGCAAACACAATAAAATTAATTTTACCTTACCATTCACTCTTCAAACTTGTTATGTATGTAATATATATGATAAACACGATATGTTCAAACTAACCATTTGAGTGAAAAATACACAAACAAATAATAGAAAAAACTGCAAATTCAACCGAACTACAAATAATCCCCTCCTTAAAATACCCAACAAATGGTTCAACGATACATTGATAAATGATTAGCTGGTAGATCATGTTAACAAGCGAATTTACGACACCCGAAGACAATATCTAATTAATAATAGCAAATTACGCTTTTATCACATTGCCGATTTTGATAACTTCTCGTGGCTAAATAAGACGATCAATCCTCTATAACTCGTAGACACTATAAGTAATGATAAATATATATATTTATTTCTTGTTGACTTAGCATACCAAAATCTAATGGAAGCATTGTCCCTCATTTCCTTTTTTGCACGCGCAGTCGCGCACAAAAAAAAAAAAAGAAAAGAAAAAAGAAAAGAAAAGTATAATAATAATAAAAAAATAATAATAAATGCATGAATTTGCTTCAAAAGCAAGGGGTTAGAGATTGAAAGCGGTGTTGCATCCCATAACCAAATAACGACAAAATTATAAACGGTAGATTTTGCAAATTTCTCGACACCAACTTCGGTTGAAAAATAATAACATGGAATTATACTGTTTTTATTGGAATAAGTGAATAATGCGTGATTAAAAAGTAAAAAAAAATTTAAGTTTATGTGTAAAATTATTTAGTGGAAGAATGTGTGATTAAAAATAAATTTGAAAGAAATAAATTTTTTTTTTAAATGGTTAAAACAAGAACTTCGCTTGCTTCTTTTTAAAATTAGAGACCAACTTGTAATAGGAAGGATTGATTTTCAAAGTATTGAAGCTTAGCTTATGTTAAACATCAAATGATGACACACTACAATAGATGTTGGGAGGTAATGATTGGTTACAAAATTGATTATAACATTTATTGCAGTCCGTCACGTCATCTGATGCTTAATATAAGCTAAACAATAATAATTAGAAAATCAATTCCATAATTAGGAATAATTTAATGACCATTAGTGCTTCTTATGCTAGGTGCTAATAACGTGTCATATTAATTCATTGGTCGATAATACATTTAATTTAAATATTAAGATTCACAAAATTTTTATCCATCAATAAATTAATATGATACGTTACCGACCTCGACAAAATTTATGATGATCTATATCTACAAAACTCTCACTCTAGACACGAGCTCGAGACTTCCTTTTCGTTTAGTAGTTGTGCCGGTTCATATTGTTATCTCAACCCTCAAGTCGGAACGTTAATTCTTTTAAAATCATGCAACTTTTTTTTTGGGTACAGATGATCGTCAACTTTAATATACAATAAAATTTTAATTATTATTATTTAATTAAATGTTATAGTTGGATTAAGTTATAAATTTTGTGGGGCTAATGAGGAGTTAGGAGTTGAGACAGTCCATCAACCCCTATCATCGCGTTTGGAACAAACAAATGCAAGCAGTTATGTAATTTTCTCATCATTAAAATATTAAAATCTAAATATTAAAAATCGCTAAAACCGTTAAAAAATTATTAATGAAAAGTTGTAACATTGGTTCGCGTAAGGACTCTCCAAAGTTCACCCCTACCCCTTTACCCAGTGCCCACTGGCCACTCCTTGTACGAAAAACTCTGTGCCCCCAAATCTCAACTCCCCCGACACCATTTCTGTCCCACACACTCTCTCTCTCTCTTAATTCTGGCCGGGAAATTACAACTTTTTTCAGTTTTTTTTGGGGAAACTAGCAGAACTGTAATCCATTACATTTATACCAAGAAATCTCGGGAAAATGTGGAATCTTGCGCGAAGACCCATTATGGTTTCTTGAGTTACAGTGAGATTTCTTGATTTTTCTTGCAGGTTTGCCTATGGTGATGATAGAAGGGCTGCTAGGTAAGTTTATTTTGGTTTGAAAGTACAATGTGAGGTGAATTTCCATTTTTTATTCTGTATGTATGTGTATGTACTTTCTTGGTTGTGAGGATGGTGGCTGCTGTTTCTGAAAACCCCAAAATTATAGCTTCAAGAAGACCTCCATTATTGTCTTCTGAAAAAGATGATTGTAATGGGTTTTCAAACAATCCCAGGAGGCCCAAATCTAGAATTGTTTCTTCAAGATACATGTCCCCTTCAAGTTCTACTTCCACTTCGTATTCCTCTTCAGTTTCCTCATCTTCCTCTTCTTCTGGAAGGTATCCCTCTCCTTTAGTTTCAAGAAACTTAACCCCGGTGTCAAAGATTCCTTCTTTAGGCCCCAAGAGGTCTGTGTCCGCAGACCGTAGGCGGCCCGTGGCTGCCAGGCCTTTAGCACCTGATCTTGATTCCAGGCATGGGAATTTGACTGAAGTTTCTGCAGCCGCTAAGTTGCTGGTCACATCGACTCGGAGTTTATCAGTTTCCTTTCAAGGTGAAGCCTTTTCTCTACCATTTAGTAAGACTAAGGTTGCCCCTCCTTCACCTAATTTGAGTAGTGTGAGGAAGGGTACTCCAGAGAGGAGGAGAAGTGGTACTCCATTGAGAGGAAAGGGTGACAGGGGAGGAGATCAAGTAGAGAATTCTAAGAGTAAGGTTTCCCTGCCTTCATCTAATTTGATTAGTGTGAGGAATGGTACTCCGGAGAGGAGTTCTGCTACTCCATTGAGAGGAAAGGGTGAGAGGGGAGGAGATCAAGTAGCAAATTCTAAGAATGTTGATCAGCATAGGTGGCCGACGAAGAACCGGCCGGTGAATCCATTGTCAAGGAGTTTGAATTGTAGCAGTGGTGGTGTAGAGAGGAATACGCTCATTGGATCTGGGAATGTGGTTCGAGCATTGCAACAATCGATGATTGATGAGAGGAGGGCGTCACTTGATGGCAGGTTGAATCTTGATTTGGGCTATTCAGATCTTTTAAAGACATCTCAACGAGTTATAGATAGGAATTTGGCTAATAATGAGTCATCTGTACCATCTGATCTCACTGCATCCGATTCAGACAGTGTCTCTTCTGGTAGTACAACTGGAGTTCGAGAAAGTGGAGGGGGTTTCCGTGGAAAAAGTGGTCCTCGTGGAATTGTTAATTCAGCTAGGTTTTGGCAAGAAACCAATAGTCGGTTGAGGAGGTTGCAGGATCCAGGCTCTCCTTCATCAGCAAATCCCAGTTCAAAACTAATTGTGCCTCCAAAGTTGAAAAAGTATGCAAGTGATGGTCCATTGTCATCCCCTATTCGTGGAGGTATTAGACCTGCATCTCCGAGCAAGCTTATGACACCTGTGGGATCATCTCCATCCCGGGGACTTAGTCCATCTCGTGTCAGAAATACTGTTAGCACCATTACTAATAATTTCAATGAGACACCATCTGTTCTTAGTTTTTCTGTTGATGTTCGAAGAGGGAAAGTAGGCGAAAACCATATTGCTGATGCACACTTTTTGAGGCTTCTGTATAATCGGCACCTCCAGTGGCGTTTTGCCAATGCTAGGACTGAAGTGATCTTGCTGGTGCAGAGACACGGTGCAGAGGTGAGAATCTTATTTTAGAATTAAACTTCTTACTTTGAACTTCTTTAACAATAATCTGCATATGCCTTTTTAAGAATGATGATCGAAATATTTTTTTTAAGACAATTTATCTCTTGGATCACTTTACATTCATGGTGGACCAAGCGAGTTTATTTCTAACGGTTAGAAGCTCCTATCAGAATTTAAGACTCTTTCCCTATTTTGGTTCACCTACAGATAACATTTAAGATACGAATGTGACAGACGTATGACTAAACTTAGGGACAATTTGCTCCTTGCGTCAATTGTCATGTAAGCCAATGAGCTTAGTACACTTCTTCTCACAAGGATATATTCCCCTACATGTAACTGTGTTGCTTCTCTTTACACGCTCTATGTGAACAATTTGCTGAACATATTAAGGACTGAATCTTTAACGATGCATATGGTCATACCCGGACTTACTGTTTCTATTACATCATGTGATCTTTCGCAGGGCGAATTTGAAACTTTAAAGACATTTATTTTGTTGGAAATTTTTTAGGGATGATCTTAGTGTGTAATATGGTTTTCAGGAAAGTAAAGTCTTTGAGATGAAGACGTATATTGTCCATCGAAATAACACGAGTGGAGATTATAGTTGGCTACTTAGATTTCTTATCCTACGGACTTTTCCTCTAAAATTTCAGATTTTAGAATTATGCACTTGTAACAAGTGTTTATAATGATATTTCTGATTGTGATTTTAGTCATTTTCTTTACGTGGTCAAATGAGAAAGCTTGTATGCCTTGTACTCCTAACATTTTGTTGGAAAACAGGGAGTCGACTATTTCAGTGAGCGTGAAAAATATTACAGGGAAAGATGATAAAGTTCCCACTTCCCAGATATGCCAACCATTGTAGGGAAAGCTGAGATAAATTTCAATACTGAGTTGAAAAATAATTAGATCAATCCCAGATAAATTTGAAAGCAAGTACGAATGCCTGTTTTTATGAATTCTCGTGTTAGGTTACTTATCAAAAAGGAAAATGGAGAGTAGGAAATTCTAGTAGGCTAGAGGATGACGCCTTTACGTTTTGATTAGTTGAAGTACTTGAGCCCTTGACAACTGAAAGTGGGCTTAAAGCTAGAGTGGAGATAAGGTTTTTTGTCCTAGCCATCAGTTAGAGAAGAAATGTACAATATCCGTGGAAGAGAAAAAAGGTGACTTGAGGGGAGCAGTCTCAACTTTCATTGATGAAAAAATATATTTTCTCCTTTGTAACTTTGTTTTTCATCGTCCTAAGTGATAGAGATGGAGTATTGTACTGAAGAATTTGGAAGAGTTTGAGCAGGAATGCTTGAACATAATAATAGAAGAAAAAGTCCTACTAGTTTCATTAAACACGATAAGCTCTCAATAGTTTAGATGCACAGTTAATTTCATCGTAACAAATTATGAGACTTGATTGTAGCAAAAATAATGATTTTATGATAGATTAGATAGAAATTATGAATTACAATATACACCACCAAGTGGAGGTGGCTCAAACTGAGAATAAATTAAGCCGTTGTTTGGTTTAGCTAAAAATTAGATTTTTAGTAGATTTTGATAAATAATTAAAATGTGTGATTGAAAAATTGATAAAAGCTGTGAGACTCGTGAAGTGTCTGAGTGAAAATGAGTTTAAGGAGGAAAATAATTTTAGAAAATGGTTGCCAAACAGGGGCATAGTGAACATGGTATAAATTGGTTAGATAACATGATTGTAGCAGAATGAGGATGTTATAATGGCAGATGTATGGCCATATTAGAATAGGTATAATACCAAATCCCCTGGAGCACATTGTCCACCTTCACATGCTAGCACCTTTTGCTTCAATGGCATTCAAAATAAATTATTCACCAAGTGCAGGTAGCACAATCAGTTGATAATAAATTAAGGAAATATGACTAGATGGTTGAGTTTCGCTATTCATAAGTGAACTCCCAATGCTGAGAAATGATGTGAATCTGGTTGAAGAAGGTGGAGGAGGGAGAGGTAGATCAAGCTTAACATGGCACAATTGGTTGAGAAAGATTTGATTTCATTGGACTTATCACCTGACGTGGTGCTAGATTGAATGACAACAAATGATTCCCAAAAGCATCCTTAAAATTTATTTTCTAGTTTCAGTTGTTTTAAATGTTATTGATTATGAAAGGAATATTTACTAGTTATATAAATTTGCCGGTGATGAAATTAGTGTAAGAAAATTGAAAAGCCAAAATCTTGATGTTGTACAAAAATGTAATTTATAGATTCAGAGTTTTAAAGCATTAAATTGCTATCAAAATGTCATAGGATCAATGCATCAGATTTACATTGATTTAGGTAGATATTAAAATACTGGAGTCAAGTAAAAAGCATATAATGTGACAATGGTCCTTACAGAAAGATTTTAGGGTTTGCGTTTGATTGAGAGCTTGAAATTTGTATGGAGAGAGAATAAATTTTAGGCAATCGAATTGCCTAAATTTTTTTTTTTTTTTTTTATGAAAATTGTTAATTAAATGTGTTTCATTGATTTAATTTTCAATCTAGAAAATATTATATTTGTCCATTTTTTATTGGTGGGTATCTGAGAGAGAAAGAAAGGGTGAATTACCTGGAAATTAAAAATCACTCAGCCCTAAAGAAAATGTTTTCTTTGTTTTTTGAGGGAAATATGATCATATGAAAAATTGAAAATATTTTTCATGAAAAAATTGTTAATCAAATATGTCAGAAGTAGGAATTTGGGTGGAAAAATGACATTTTTCATGGAAAATAAAGCCAATCAAAACACACTCTTAGTGTAATTCTTTTTAATTTTTGATGTTTCCTAAACGGGAAAGAGGATGAGAGATGGAAAGGGGAAATTTAGGAAGGGAATGTGCCAAGCTGTTTGATTATTCTTTCTCATGATTTTTATGATACTAAAATTCGATATGCACTGAGAATGTTTGGGAAATCTTTCCATCTTTAAACTAATGCTACAAAGCTTTGAGCTAAAAACTACATATACAAAACATAGCCTCTGTTTGAGCCCCATTCTTTTGAAAAATACATTCTTAAATGATGTTTTGGTCTCATTTCAAACACGCATTCTTTAATAAAATAATATTATACGCAAATTCAAAATTTTTCTTATTTTTTAACCACACATTTCCCATCAATACACTATTTAAAAATACATTCTTATGAAAAGAATGAGGCTCAAACAAGGGCATAATGAACTTTAATGTTTGAAATTTCTTACTAAATTATGCCAGTTAAAATATGAGTGATTATATTTTAAGCATATGATGGTGTGAGTGTGTGATACGAATTCTTGCAATTGGAAGATAAATTATGACTGTTGATTTAGCCTCTTGGATTTCTATTTTCATTTTCCTTTTGAGTGCTGATTTTGTGAGACAAACTTGAAATTCCTAGCTTTTCCTTTATCTTCCACATACAATGTCCATATTATTGTTGTCGATACAACTACTGAACACGTATCAGTTCTATGATCAGAAGCAAGTTATGGAGTGCACGTTGCTCAGTATGTTCAGAAGCAATTCATATCTAAATCTGGATCTCATGAACAACTTTCGAATCAAGAATATTTTATGCTTCTTCTTTTCAAGCAAGTAGCATAAATGTATGTCTAGTTCTTGGTGTCTGGGACTTCATTGAACTCTTTTAACATGTTTCATACTACATATACAAATCCTACCTGGTAGTCTACAATCTTAAGAATTTAATCTTTTTCTATACCAGAAAAATCTATGGAATGCGTGGATAACAATCTCACATCTACGCGATACTGTCACCAAAAAAAGGCACCGATTGCAGTTGCTTAGACAAAAGTTGAAGCTAGCCTCCGTTCTCAAGGGACAAGTAAGCTCTATTCTTCGCTTCTGTTTCTGATTGGGAATAAAGTTAGTTATTTTTATAACTAGAATTAGGCTATTGTTTGATAGATTTTCTAGTTTGATTAAGTTAGGGTTTATTCTCTTGGTTTCCTTCTCAAATTAGGTTTGCTTAGACTCTATGTAAAGAGTCTATTAATTGTGGTACAGACAACTTTTTGACATTGAATAAAATCTTATATTTCCTCAATCTAGTTTCTCTCTTTTCTCTCCCTCTTCTTCTCTTTCTTCTCTCTCTTCCTCTTTTTCGCGATCTTGTTCTTGTTTGTTGTGTTCGTCATCAGTTTCATATTACAGATTCCTGTCAGATCATTTGTGCAAAATGATTGTATAACTTGAAATTCCAATAACCAGGGCTTGACCTGATGGGATCTGATTGATCAAATGAGATTTAGCACTATTAATATTAAAATGAAGTTGGATTGATAAACATGAATAAGAAAATGGTACTCTTATGACTATACTGCAATAGTAGTCATAATCTCATAGACTTTTTGCCTTCAATTACTGCACAAAATTCTGAATCACATGAAGAAAATTTTTACGGTTGTCTATACTCGAACAAAACTACAAGTTGAGGTAAATTACATGATAAATATACCTCCAGATTTATATTTGGATTAAGTTTCTACATATTTTTTATTATAAATGATATAGTTTTCTTTCCTGATAAAAACTATGAAATCATGAATTCATGTTAATAGCCTCTGTTTGGCCCCCCATTTTCTAAAACTTGTTTTTCTTCAAATTCATTTTCGACCATCATTTCATGGGACCCACAACTTTTATAACTTTTCAACCACACATTTAATCAACTTTTCTTGAAATCTATTAAAAATTTGATTTTTAACTAAACCAAGCAGGGTATAGTAATGCCAATATACCTTTTATTTCTTACCTCTGCAAAAAAAAAAAAAAAAAAAAAAAAAAAGGAA